TTAATACACAAGAAGGTACACATGTTCTTTCCCTGACATTAAACCAGAAAAAGCCTGAGAGCTCTTGCGGAATTGAGTTACGACTTAAGCAACTAGAAGAAAAGTTGAGGTTTGGGTTTGAGGAAACAACTCGTATCATCGGTGTTGTTGGGATGCCTGGCATTGGTAAGAGCACTCTGGTTAAGAAGTTCTATGAGGAATCGGAGAACGGATTCTTAAGTCATGTGTTAATCCTAGATGTCCATGAGACTTCAAAAGAATATGGCTTGAGTTACTTGTCCACAATAGTCTTGGAAGATTTATTGAAGATCAAGAATCCAACTTTTGAGATGGTCCAAGCTGCACACGAAGGTTACAAGGATCAACTGCTCAAAACCAAAGCACTTGTTATTCTCGACAATGTGAGTAACAAGGACCAAATTGTTGCTATTCTTGGCAAACGTAACTGGATTAAACAAGGAAGCAAGATTGTCATTGCAACAAGCGATAAGTCGTTGATACATGGTCTGGTCGATGATATTTACGAGGTTCCTCAGTTAAGTTATAAAGACAGTTTACAACATTTTGTCCATTATGCCTTTAGTGATCAAAGCAATGCTTCGAATTTCTCAAAGCTGTCGAACGATTTCCTGCACTTCACCAAAGGAAATCCACTAGCTCTCAAGGTTTTAGGTGCTGAGCTTCTAGGGAAAGATGAGTCTGTCTGGTACTCAAAACTAGATGCTTTGAGCCAGCAGCATAAAGGCCGAACACGAAGCTCTAACAAGATGCGAGCACAAACCTCTAGTGGAATGCTTCAAAGTGTTTGGAAAGGGAGCTATGATGGACTGAATCAGCAGCAAAAAGATACACTTCTTGACATTGCCTGCTTCAGATCATTGGACAAGAATTATGTAGCGAGTTTATTGGATTCATATGGTGAAAATTCAACCGACGCTGCAATTGCAATAGGAGGCCTCGTGAACAAGTTCTTGATTTCTATATCTTCCGGGAAAATAGAGATGCACGACACGCTATATATGTTTTGTAAGGAACTTGGTCAAGAAGCCTCTGCTCCTGATGGGATTGGGCGACGAAGGTTATGGGACCATCACACGATAATTGATGTGTTAGATAACAATAAGGTAACATTAACTTCTTGCATATATTGTAATACTTTCAAGTTGGTCTCAGTGAAGTAAGTCTTTTGTTACCTTTTCTGTTGTTATGAGCTTATGGCTTGTTTGTTGCTGATTGATAGGGAGCTTCTAGGGTCAGATCTATCTTCCTTGACTTGGCTGATGTAAACATGAAAAAGAGCTTCCACAGTCGAGCATTTGTCTCGATGAGCAATATGCGGTACCTCAAAATCTACAACACTTCTTGTCCTCAAGAATGTGATCGTGGCATTACGCTAAACTTCCCGGATGGACTCCAGCTCCCATTGAATGAGGTTCGATGTCTCCATTGGCTGAAATTTCCAATGAAAAAACTTCCATCAGATTTTAACCCGAAAAATCTCATGGACCTTAAGCTTCATTACAGTGAGATTGAACGAGTTTGGGATGGTAACAAGGTGTGTAATCAGTCGATTCTTTTCATTTTTCAAAATCAGCTAGAATAAGTATTTGAATTGCTTCCTTAATCAGGTTATTTTACTTTCTCTAGTCCAAATTAGTAAGTTGGTTAAGTTGTGGCTAGAAAATACCTGGTTGTTTTTACGGTTAGCTGATTCTATGTTTTTACATTTGTAACAGGATGCATCGAAACTTAAATGGATCGACTTCAACCACTCCAGAAAGTTGAGTACCTTGTCGGGGTTAGCCGAGGCTCCAAATCTACAAGAACTGAACCTCGAAGGCTGCGTAGCGTTGGATACGTTACCCCTTGACATGGAAAACATGAAGTGTTTGGTTTTCCTGAACCTGAGAGGCTGCACAAGTCTAAAGTATCTTCCAGAGATTAGCTTGGTATCTCTGGAAACTCTCATCCTCAGCGACTGTTCAAAATTTAAGGAATTTAAGGTGATTTCAGAAAAGCTAGAAGCAATATACTTGGATGGTACTGCGATAAAGGACCTTCCACTCAACATTCAGAATCTCCAGAGACTTGTCTTGTTAAACATGAAAGGCTGCAAGAAGCTGAAAAGGCTCCCTGACGGTCTTGGTGAACTTAAAGCTCTTCAAGAACTGATACTTTCTGGCTGTTTAAAGCTCAAAAGTTTTCCAAAATTTGTGGAAAACATGAACAGGCTAGAGATATTACTTCTAGATGAAACAGCTATCAAAGAGATACCGAACATATCCTCGTTGCGGCGCTTATGCTTAAGCAGAAATGAGAAGATATGTTCCCTCCCAGAGAACATCAGTCAATTTTCTCAACTAAAATGGCTTGATATGAAGTACTGTAAAAGCCTTACATATCTTCCTAAGCTTCCATCAAGCCTTCAGTGCTTAGATGCACATGGATGTAGCTCACTGAAAACAATTGCGCAACCACTTGCACATGCAATGAAGACAGAGTATATTCATTCGACGTTCACTTTCACGAACTGCAACAGATTGGAACAAGCTGCAAAGGAAGAAATCGCATCCTATGCTCAAAGGAAATGTCAGCTATTACCAAGTGCACTTAAACTTTGCAATAAGGTATATCTCCCTGTTTTTCTCCCTCTCCATTCTTTCGGAAACCGAGATCTCATGATTTTTCCTTCTCTATAACTTTTGCAGGATCTTGTTCCGGAGATTTTGTTCAGCACAAGCTTTCCTGGAGGTGAAATACCATCATGGTTTTCTCATGAAGCAATTGGATCTAAGATGAAGTTTGAATCACCCCAACATTGGAATTACAATAAGCTTTCTGGGATAGCTCTATGTGCTGTTGTCTCAGTCAAGAACTGCCAAGATCAAACCAGAACAGAACAAGAGCATACCAACTACTTGTCAGTGAAATTCACTTGTAAATCAATAACTGGAGAGGAGCCTTGCACCGAATTTACTTGGAAAGTTGGAAGCTGGACTGAACAGGGAAACAAAGTAGACATCATTGAGTCAGATCATATCTTTGTTGGCTACACCAACTGTTTACACCTCATAAAACATCTTGAAGACCAGCATTCTAGTCAATGTGCTCCTATTGTGGCATTCCTTGAGTTTAGTGTGGCAGATGACAGTACTAGTGAGGAAGCCAACTTTGAGGTGTTGAAATCCGGTTTCAGTTTTGCGTTTGAACCGGATGAGAACAAAAATCCATCCTGGGATGCTAACTCTGTTGCAAGTCCAAGTGATGACAACAACACATGTGAAGCAACAACCATTACCGAAACTCAAAGAACTAATGGTAATGGTTATCTCATGGATCAAGCCAATGGTGTGATGAATCACCAAATGTCAAATGGCAGAGCAAGTGAAGCAAGATCTTACACTCACTTCAGCAAGGATGACTATAACCAACATTAATCAAGTTGTTGTGTAGCTCCAATAGGGCACGAATCTTGTCGTAGTCAAGTTCTTCCTAAACTGTCAATCTTTCCAAAAGCATTTTTTCCAGGAATATCTCTGTTTTCTACCCTGATTTCGGACTACATATTCATTGAACTCTTTTTAATGGCATCTCCATTTTGCATTTCTCTCTCTCTGTGTTCATCTTAGGGTACCTACAAAATCATACCTTACCTTGCCTTGTTTGGCCTCTTAGCCTCATCTGCTGTGCAGTTTGGTCCCGACCTTACGCTCACCTAGCCGTCATACCAGTGTGCTTATGAAATTTAGAGCCGTTGATTTTGATCCTGGAATTTACATCGATCTCCTTATGGCCGCTGGACTGGAGGCAGTTACAAGATGTCACGTCCATGTGCTCTTATGGTAGCCACAAAGCAACAGATCAGCAATAACAGAAACACATACCATGAGAGATTCAAGAATCGGAACAATCCACCATAACTGACTAAAAGTTTCCTAACAATGGACCTTGTTTTTGCTAAATTCTTGGACAAACCACTTAACATCACTTGGCTTAAAATCTACAAGAAGAGGGTTAAGACTTAAGACCAAGGAGGTGAGCAATTTGCCTTTTGACCTGAAAACAACACAAGGAAAAATCAAACCACAAATTGCCTCACTAATGTGACACTATACTCTTTAGATTAGAAGCTACAATTTTTTTTTACAATCTAGGCATCTCGCCGTATGAACGAGACAAATGTTACTGACATAATGCAAGTTTTCTGGCCAACAAATATAACAAAGTCTAGCTCCAGTGATCACCACCAAATTCTTCCCTATTCAGAACATTCCCATTTTTATATTTAGCAACCACTAAGGCTTCATCATAACCATATAGTGATGTGCATAAAGCTGAGACATTTAAACCCCAAAACAGAGGAAACAACCTCGAAGCTTTAAACTTTTAGAAGTTTGATCCATTCATTCACCAATCAAACAACACAAACCCCCAAAAGAAGAAACAAACAGCAGAAAACTGAAACACATTAACAGAAATAAACACCAAACAAAGAGTTCTCAAACTAGATTACAACAGATAATGTCACTCATAACTAGGCAGCAGCGCCTGAGACCAAATCTCCGGCAACGGCGGTGGAACCACCGTCATCGGAAGAAAGAGAGACCGGAGTCCACTCTGCAGGGAGAGGAGGAAGAGGAGCGTAAACGGTGGGCTTTCTCTTAATGTCCCAAGGCTGCGTCTTCTTCGGCCTCGTCTTCCTGTGATGAGCCGTTGATTTCTTCTGTGGCCTCGACGAACACTCTATCACCATTCCCAATCCTCCTCCGACTCCTCCGTTACCCAATTTCGGAACCTGAAATTGACGGAGAACTGGAGATGCAGCGACGGTGACGATTCCGGTGCCAAAGATCGCCGAGACAGACATTGTTGTTTCTTCTTCTTATCTTTTCTGCAGTGAAGTGTGAGTATGAGCCTCTAGCTTCGGATTAGAGACATCATATCGTCGTCTTCAAGTTTCTCGTTTTTTAAATGGGCTTTCTCTTTTTGTTTAGGCCTCTGAGTCTCTATTGGGCCATTTTGTATAGCCCATTAGTTTCATATTTTACTCGTTATGCTGCAAACCTGCGACAATAAAATTTGTAAAGAACTGAATCAGAATTTCTTTGATTATGTCATATTGTCATGGTCCTCAAGGAACGCTCTGCTAATTGAACGTATAATTGTACTGATAAATGTATAGTTACAAATATATGAATGAATTTTATTTACTGTGTTGTTTTCACCAAGTTTGAGTTTCAATTAACAAAGAAAAATAATGTTTTCAAAAAAAAAAACAGAGAAAAATAATCCTAAGTTTGAGT